ATTTTCCTCCAGTGACCTATGTCTGGCACAGCCTAGTCTGATTTATTATATCCCAGTGTAGCCAACAGCTTGATTTAGTACCATGAATCAGACTTAATATTTTTCAGGCTTGTCATCTGGGCTCAGCAAGCTGTCATTCTATGGTGCATTACAATAATTTTCATTTTCCTAGGAGTCTTAGGACTCAACAATTTCCACTGTTTTATTTATTCTAGGCCAGTGCATAGATTCATATGGAAATTATTGTGTCCATGCTTGGTCAGTCCTTTTAACAGTGGTGCATCGACTGCAGCTCGGTGTATAACCTGGGCTAAGCCTGCTTCCAATTCCCTACGCATGCCATGAAGGCTCTGTTATTTATTTTAATTGGAAGGCTTTTCTCTGGATTTGGTGACTTGATAGTATTGGAGCACAAAAATATGAACTTTGAATTTTTGGCCAGGAATACTACAATCAACTGCATACATAGAAGTGGGCAACTGCTATTCCATACTGTTTATTCAACTGGTCTGGTATATTATCTATCTATATGCGTAAAAATTTAGATCCAGATGTCATGATCACAGCTTTTGAATGCTTGGTGTTACGAGCTGCCTGCGTATAATTATACATGTGCAACATTCTTACCTTTCCTGGAATAAGCAGCAGTGTAATGTTATCCTCAGCAATCACTAGGATCTTGTGTGAACCTGAGCTACAGCCCTCTATGCCTGTGCAGCTTAGGCACGGCTATCTCAGAACCGTGAAAAGGTGCCCATTTTTAAATGTTGGGACTCACTGTTACCACATTTTGTCAGCCATGACTGATCTGCATTGCATTCACTGGCCATTCATTGACATTCCAGGGTTGCCATTATGAGCAGGTGGTCTCATTACCCCAGATTCTAACCATGTCACCCATGTGACCATTTCAGGTGGGCTCTCACCACGTGCTGAGGCACCATGCCGTCCGACGTGCGTGATCCCCGTGAGAGGGAGCGGGACAGGGAGCGGGACAGGCTGCGCGACCGCGACAGGGAGGCCCCGGAAACGGCCCAGGTAACTGTCCCCCCCCCCCCCCCCCCCCCCACTGGGGCCACCCTGCTGTGATGGGCTGATGCGGGCGTGTTGTGCATGTCATGACGTGTGCTGTCAATCAGGTGCGCCGTGAGTGGATCAAGTCCAGGCGTGCAGCAGCCGACGCCGGTTGTCGTCAGCGTGATGTCTACGGTTAGAGTCGTCCGGGGCCTTTAACCGCTCGAATATTGAATTCAAATATTTTTGTCTAAGCCCTTGGCTTGTGTTAGGATGAAGGAATCCAAGTGTGCTCACGTCATGCATTGAGTGGTTTTCGACGCATGTCACACATTCATCAAAATGGAGAAGAATATGCACACACTGTGTGACGTGTCTTATGCATGCTGCTGTGAGTTTGAGATGCGCTTAACTCATGCAGAAATCTGCATCATAGCTAACTTGCACATACATCTCCAATCCAGGAATGTGTAAGACATACCTTGCCCAATAACTGAAATGCCATCTCTGTGACCAGAGGGCTTTAACCAAATTAGGTCAAAAGGAAACCATTGCTCACTCTCTTGTTTTTGTTCTGCTGCTTGTTGAACAAGCTTGTTCATCTCATGCACATCCTGTTCATTGAATGGATGGTATCTGAAGCACTGTTATGTTGATTTTTGAAATATTTGACACCAGAAAGCTGCAGTGCCAGTGAGCAAGATGCCATGACGTCACGCTCGTCTGACGTCACTCTCGTCTGATGTCACTGACTGTCCCGCCACAGGAGCCGGAGCCGTTCGCCGGGCCAGAAGGAGCGCCGTGACAAGGAACCGCTTCGCGACCGCGACCGGGACCGAGACAGGGACCGCGGCAAGGACCAGGACCTCGACAGGAGCCGGGACCGCGGCAGAGAGCAGGACCGCGACCGGGACCGAGACCGAGACCGAGATCGGGACCGAGACCGGGACCGGGACCGGGATCGAGATCGAGATCGAGACCGGGACCGGGACCGGGACCGGGACAGAGACCGGGAACGCGGTCGGCGCCGCTCTCGTTCCCCACGCGGGAGTAAGGAGCGGTGAGTGCGCCAGTCGGATGCGTCCGGCACGTTCGACGTCACGGGCAAGATCCTTCCCCGCTTGTGTCGGTTATTAAGGCTAGAATCCAAAGCATCCGTGGCATTGGAAGCACACCAGTCGCGTGTTGTGTCCAACGTTCCTTCTCGCGTACAATCTTGAGACCAGAGTCACACGTGCGAATGGCTTGGAACAGGCTTAGCGGCATGTTATGGTCGGGCACCACTGACACGCAGTATCGACCGGCTCGCAAGCCCAGAGAGCCGTCCATTGGCGTTCACCGTGCAGCCGTGTCGACCGCCCCTCCCCCGCCCCTCCCCCGCGCCACCCCCGCCCCACTCTCGCCCCGCCCCTGTTGTTCGGGTGTTCGGCCTCAGCTGACAGCGACGACACCCCGTCGTCAGCTCGCCCGAGGCCACGGACGACAGCTCGGCCGTGAAGCGAGAACCCCTCTCGCTGGAGGAGCTGCTGGCCAAGAAGAAGGCTGACGAGGAGGCCAAGAGCAAGCCCAAGTTCCTGACCAAGGAAGAGCGGGCGGCGGAGGCGCTGCGGAAGCGCCAGGAGGAGGTGCGTGGTCGGCGCCGGCCCGCCGGATCGCCGGAGCCAGCCACTCGGGACAGCCTCGGCGGCCGTGACGGCAACAGACGGTCGTAGCAGACGGTCGCTGTGCATCTGGAGCCCGTCTGACAGGAATGGTTTTTAGACCATGCGTGTGTTCTGTGCGATGCTGAGAGAGGGAGAGGGAAGGAGTAATCCTCGACGTTGTGTTTGTTTGCAGAGATGGAAGCGCATATAGCGCGAACATGTGCATAAAACCAGCGCTTGTAATGTACATGCACATCTATGTGTACTGGTGTATTGCCATATATAATGGACGTAATGTGGCACTACTTGTATTTTGGTTTGTTAGTTTGATTGCAAGTAATATCGATAATCACCTACTCGCTGGGACGCGCACCCCGACCGATCGTCCACAACAGCCCGTGGCGTCCATGAGCGGCTTGTTCCCGCACTGCAGCCTGCCTTTGCGTCCGCCAGGTGGCGGAGACACGTCGCCTGCAGGATGAGGAGCGCCAGAAGCGGATGCAGTTCCAGACGGAGGGCCAGCGCAGTGTGGAGCAGCAGCGGCGGCAGCAGCGGCAAGAGACCTACCGACGACCGCAGCGGCCCGACCCGCGCGGCGACCGGCACAAACACGAGCCAGGGGTCAGTGGTGTCGCTCGAACACGAGCCAGGGGTCAGTGGTGTCGCACGAACACGAGCCAGCGGTCAGTGGTGTCGCTCGAACACGAGCCAGGGGTCAGTGGTGTCGCCCAAACGCGAGCCAGGGGTCAGTGGTGTCTTACAAACACGAGCCAGGGTTCAGTGGTGTCGCACGAACGCGAACCAGGGGTCAGTGGTGTCGCACGAACACGAGCCAAGGGTCGGCGGCGCCACACAAACACGAGGCGGTCAGTGGTGCCGCACTAACACGTGCCAGGGGTCAGTGGCACCACACAAACACGAGGCGGTCAGTGGTGTCGCACGAACACGCGCCAGGGGTCAGTGGCGCCAGACAAACACGAGGCCGTCAGTGTTGTCGCACGAACGCGAGCCATCGGTTGCGCGCCGCCGGCCGTCCGCCGTCCGCCGTCCGCCGTCCGCCGTCCGCCGTCCGCCGTCCGCCGTCCGCCGTCCGCCGTCCGCCGCCCGCCGCTGACCGGCCGTGACCCGCAGGGGGAGGTGAGCAAGGACAAACAGCGCGAGGAGCAGGCAATCCGCGAGCGTTACCTGGGCCTCGTGAAGCGAAAGCGGCGCGTGCGCCGGCTCAACGACCGCAAGTTCGTGTTTGACTGGGACGCCGGCGAGGACACGTCCACCGACTACAACCAGCTGTACAAGGAGCGCCACCAGGTGAGGCTGGCGGCGCGTCCGGGCGAGGCGCGGGGGTGCACCGGTGTCGAGGACAGCGGTGTCGCCGAGGGATCAGGGCCGCTGCTCGCGCCGCGCTTGTTGGCGTGGCTGGCCCGGTGGCCGTAGGCGTGGTGCACTTCCTGGGCAGAGCTCTGCGGCTTGCCTGTCATCGGGCCGTTTTTGCGCGTGCTTTTTTTAGTTTCCTTCTGCAGTCACGGGTGTGCGCACAGGCCCTGGCTGATCTGTGGTCGGCGGTCGTGCGCGCAGGCTCTGGCTGATCCCATTCCCCATTCGCCGGGTTTGATCGGCTGAGCTGTCCTGGGATTTGATTGGCTGCTGTCTTCCCGTCCGTTCAGCCGATTGGCGCGGGTCGAGGCGCGCTGACAGCTGATTGGCCGCCGCCTGCAGATCCAGCTGTTCGGCCGCGGTCATATCGCGGGCATCGACATCAAGACGCAGAAGAAGGAACAGACCGAGTTCTACGGCGAACTGATGGAGAACCGCCGAACCGCCGCAGAGAAGGACCAGGAGGTGCAGAGGTGGGAAACATAGCTGCACGCGCAAACCTCGTGTATTCCTGCGCCATGAAATCAGCTAGTCAGCTACATACCTGTACATTTATCTGAGGTGTTGTTTCTGCATGCATGCATGATGGTTATTTCTACACGCATACGCACGCGACTGAAACTGACATCAGGGCCATGTGTCCCTGACCTCGTGTCCCTTCAGGGCCGTCAGGGCCTCGTGTCCCTGACCTCTCATTAGCTGCGCGCACCATCGTCACGTTGTTGCCCTGCACCTCCATGGTCTCTCCATGCGCCATGCTGCACCACCCATCTAGCCCTGCGCCACCCAGCTGGCTCTTTGCCGCCCTGCTGGCTCTGTGTCTTCCAGCTGGCTGTGTGCCTCCCAGCTAGCTTGTGTCTCCCAGCTGGCTCTGTGCCTCCCAGCTGGCTTGTGCCGCCCAGCTGGCTTGTGCCGCCCAGCTGGCTCTGTGCCTCCCAGCTAGCTTGTGCCGCCCAGCTGGCTCTGTGCTTCTCCGCCGGCTCTTTGCCGCCCTGCTGGTTCCGTGCTTCCCCGCTGGCTCTGTGCCACCCTGCTGGCTCTGTGCCTCCCATCTGGCTTGTGCCGCCCAGCTGGCTTTGTGCCTCCCAGCTGGCTCAGACGCCGTTCCCTGCGCCCCAGGCTGAAGAAGGTCAAGCGGCGAGAGGAGAAGCAGCGCTGGGACGACCGCCACTGGTCGGACAAGGAGGTGGAGAACATGACGGAGCGCGACTGGCGCATCTTCCGCGAGGACTACAACATCAGCATCAAGGTGCCGGCCCCGGCCCCGGCGGCAACCAGCGGCCGGCGGCGTCTCGGGACGGGCGGAGGAGGGGAAGGGGGAGGGGAGGGGGGCTGCACAAATTATACGGCGCCGCCATCTCACATGGTGATGCTTCTCTACGGTGAACGGGATCAGTCACCGCCTGCCGGCTTTGATATCGCGGGCGCTCTGCGGCGGGATATGGATATCCGTCGCGCCAGGGCGGTCGCGTCTTTACCAATCGGCCTCGGTCAGCGCTGTGTCGTGTTTGTCGCGGGGTTATGTTCGTGCGCTGACCCGCTCACCGTTGACGCGGCGGCTGTCTGAGATGGCGGCCGAGTCCGTCTATCTGATGGTGTCATGTGTGGTGTGTCGGCCGAGAACGACTCGCGAGGCTCGCCGCCCAACGGTCTGACGCCTGACTGACTGTCATGCTCGTGACATGTCATGTCTGTCATGTCAGTGGTGTCATGTCAGTCATGTCATGTTAAGCATGTCATGTCAAGTCTGTCATGTTATGTCATGCTGTGGCATGCCAGTCATGCCAGGTCTGTCGTGTCATGTCAGTCGTGTCACGTCTGCCGTGTCATGTCTGCCATGTCACGTTTGTCGTGTTATGTCCGTCATGTCATGTCATCTATCATGTCCCTTATGCTTCTCATGGCCATGCCATGTCTGTCATATGTCATGTCTGCCATGTTATGTATGCCATGACATGTCCGTCATGTCTTGCTTGTCACGGCATGCTCTGATCGTCATGCTCCATACTCCGACCACAGCCGACCGCTCCGGGTCCCGTCCCGCGTGCGCGAGCTGACCGTCACCCCCCCCCCCCCCCTCCCCCGCAGGGCGGTAAGGTGCCGTGTCCGATCCGCAAGTGGAAGGAGAGCGGCATCCCGCGTGACATTCTGGAGGTCGTCGACAAGGCCGGCTATCGGGAGCCGACGCCCATCCAGCGGCAGGCCATCCCCATCGGCATGCAGAACCGCGACATCATAGGTCAGCACGCTGGCGCGATGTCGGAGCCGTGTCCGCGGTGCTGCCGCCTCTTGTGGCGCGCTGCGCGGCGCCTCGCGCCGCCGCACGTCAAGGCGTAGTCGACGGCGTTAGTGTGTGCGTTGTTGCCGCGGCGACGTTTCCCCGGCGGCAGTCTCGTGAGGCACACCCGTGCCGCGAGGCGGGCCGCTCGCGCGCAGCCGATCTGGAGATGTCGGGGATGACCCGCTCGGCGCGACTGTGTGAGGTCCGCCTGCTGGCCTGACCTGACCTGACCTGGCCTGACCCGCTGACCTGGCGCCAGGCGTGGCGGAGACCGGCTCGGGCAAGACGCTGGCCTTCCTCATTCCGCTGCTGGTGTGGATCCGTAGTCTGCCCAAGATGACGCTGATCGAGGACCAGGACCAGGTGAGGACCGGCCGGCTGGACTCGGTCGGACCGCGGCGAGCTTCCGAGTGAGGACCGCAGAGGGCCGCAAGAGTGTGCTGCTCCGGCGTCCCAATGTGCGCACACGACCACGAGCCGACGCGTCGTAAGTGTGCTGCGAGTTGGCAGCCTGGCATCGCTGGGATGGTTCAGTTGCGGCGTTAGTAACATGTTCGCTGCCGCTCAGTGAGACTCGTCATTGTCACCGCATCCGCTCCGTTTTCCCTGTCGTGTGATGCGGCCGCCGTGGCCACCGTGCGCCTGCTACCTGACCTGACCTGACCTGACGTGGCCTGACCTCTGACCTGGCCTGGCCTTACCGACCAGGGCCCGTACGCCATCATCATGGCGCCCACGCGCGAGCTGGCGCAGCAGATCGAGGAGGAGTCCAACAAGTTCGGCTCCCCGCTCGGCATTCGCACAGTCGCCGTCATCGGTACGTGACGTCACCCGGGTATGACGTCATCGGTGTGTGACGTCGCGCGATGAGTCGTGGCATCGGGGTGTAGTTCTGTGCGCTTGTGTGTGCGTGCGCGTGCGTGTGCGTGTGCGCGTGTGTGTGTGTGGATGTGTTTTTTATAGCTTGGAGCACCGCTGTCTGTGTTTGCTGCCTGTCATGCATGCGGATGGTGACTACGTGGATTTTTGACGCGTCGCCCACGCGCGAATTTATATAAGAGCGCCACCGGACGTGCTGGGATGCCAGCAGCCTCGCCGTCTGACTGTCCGGCTGGCCACTGTGAGGCGCCGCCACCGTCTAGATGGCGCACCACTGGCTCGGCACCGTTCCGCAGCTAGGTCCGCTGATGGCTAGGAGCGGGGGGGGGGAGGGGGCGCTGGCGCGTCCGCGGGCCGCCTGTGCTCCAGCCGCCCGGTGTCGGGCGTCTCCCCGACACCGCTGGCTCGGCCGGCCGGTGTCTGGGTGTCTGAGTGTCTGTTTGTCTGTCTGAGTGTCTGCGCAACAGCGCCGACGTGGACAGACCTGCGCCGCATCACGCGTGTGAATGTCTGGGAACGGTCGTTATGTATGTCTGAATGTCTGTGTGAATGTTTGTGTGTATGTCTCGGTGCCTCTGTAAGTGTATGTATGTCTGAGCAGTTGTACAAGTGCACGTGGGTCTGGACGTGCGCGCACGTGAATTACGTCGGACGGTCCGCGTGAATGAACACGTCTGCATACCTGCCGGAATGCGCACGTCTGAATACGTCCGTGAATGCACGCATGTCTGAACACACGCCAGACTGGCCGCATGCTTGCATGTCTGCGCGTGGTCCCGCTCGCTGACCTGTCGTGACCCCGCGGGCTGACCTGTCATGACCCTGGTGGCTGACCTTGGCCCCGGCCGTCGGCAGGCGGCCTCAGCCGCGAGGACCAGGGCTTCAAGCTGCGGCTGGGCTGCGAGATCGTCATCGCGACGCCCGGCCGCCTGATCGACGTGCTGGAGAACCGCTACCTGGTGCTCTCGCGCTGCGTCTACATCGTGCTCGACGAGGCCGACCGCATGATCGACATGGGCTTCGAGCCGGAGGCGAGTGGGCGGCGGCGGCGGCGGCCGGGCGGGGCGGGGTGGAGGCGCGGCGACGGTGACAGGGAGGGCACTGGCACGGTGGGAGTGGTGAGGTGTTGCGCCGCTGGGCCAAGAGCCAGCTCGTGACAGCAGGTGATGCTGAGGTCACGTGGTGTGGGTCACGCTCTTCGGGTCTGGTCTGGTCTGGTCACGCGGTGACATGCCCACGTCCAGAGGCTGGCGGCGTGGCCGTAGCGGCACGCCGCTGTCCAGAAACCTCCTGCGGCATCTTGGCACCCTGCTCATGTTCGCGGTCCCGGCTGCGCCGTGGTGTGCGGCCGGTGTCCCTGCCCCCCCCCCCCCCCCACGCCGTCCAGCTGACGCCGGATCGGCCGCGCCACAGGTGCAGAAGATCCTGGACCACATGCCCGTCTCGAACGCCAAGCCGGATACGGACGAGGCCGAGGACGAGGACCACCTGATGGAGAACTTCAAGTCCAAGCACAAGTACCGGCAGACGGTCATGTTCACGGCCACCATGCCGCCGTCTGTGGAGCGGCTGGCGCGGTGAGTCGGGGAGGCAGGGAGCCAGGGAGGGTGACGTGGTGGCGGCGAGGCAGATGAATGCAGGCAGGGCGAAGCGTGGAAAGAAAGGTAGACAGGAACGACAGAATAGCGTGTTTGTGTGTCGATAACGTCATCCTTTATGGTCGCATGCACGTGCTTTTCTGGAGTCACCTCACGCGTCCGACGTTTCGCCTGAGCAGCTCGCACACGCAGTAATCGGCGCTCAGAGAGCAGCCTGAAAGACGCAGGTTCTTTCCTTGCCTCTGCTCGCGGGCCTGCTCAAACGGAACGGACTCCGCCACGGGGAGCGGTCAGAAAAGACGGAGAGCTGACACGGGACGGAGTCGTTGCGCGGCGCCCGGCAGACGTCGTCGCCGACGGCCCGGTCATCTCGAGCTGTGTCCGTGTTCCAGCAACTACCTGCGCCGGCCGGCCGTCGTCTACATCGGTGGCGGCAGCAAGCCGGCGGAGCGCGTCGAGCAGATCGTGCACCTGGTCACCGAGTCGCAGAAGCGCACCAAGCTGATGGCCATCCTGCAGAAGGTGGGCCGGCCGCGGCGGTGGGCACGCGGCGGGGTTCGATCGGTCGGGGGGCCGCTTTGGGGACAATTGTTCTGCGATCGCTGCGATCGGCATGCTGAAGACAGCTGCGCAAATGCACGCGATGATGACATGCATGTCTACGTGGCGTATGCTCATCGTGACTTTTGCTGGGCGGCCGCGTGGATCACTTTTCTTAAAGCCCTGCGCTGCCGCCTCGTTTCTGGGACCCCGCCACTGTCTGCACCGCGTTTGACACCCGGCCAACCGTCCGCAACAGACCTGACCTGACCTGCCCCGACTCCACCTGACGTGACCTGACCCCGCCTGGCTTGACCCGCGACCTGTCCGTTCGCCCGCAGGGTATCGACCCGCCAATCATCATCTTCGTGAATCAGAAGAAGGGCGCCGATGTGTTGGCCCGCGGCCTCGAGAAGCTCGGCTACAACGCGGCCACGCTGCACGGCGGCAAGGGCCAGGAGCAGCGCGAGTTCGCTCTCGGCAGTCTCAAGGTACGCTGGCTGGTGTAAAGGCACGCCCGGCAGTATTCAGATACACTGGCTGGTGCAAAAGTACGCCCAATAGTGTCGAGATACACTGGCTGGTGTGAAGGTACGCTCGGAAGTGTCAAGGCACGCTGGCTGCTGTGAATGTGCGTTCAGCAGTGCCAAGGTGTGCTTGCTGGTGTGGAAGTACACTCGGCAGTGTCGTGGTACGCTGACTGGTGTAGAGATACACTCGGCAGTGTCAATGTGCGCTCGGCAGTGTCGAGGTGCGCTGACTGGTGTAGAGATGCACTCGGCAGTGTCAAGGTGCGCTCGGCAGTGTCACTGTACACTGGCTGGCGTGAGGGCACGCTCGCCGGTCTCAGATCAAGCAGGCGAGCCTGAGGGCACGATCGGCAGTGTCCAGGCAACGGCAGCATTTACCGTTGGTGGACCGACAGTCGCTCTCAACCGCTGTGAGACGTCGGTCTCGACGTACGGGGACGACGGTTCCAAACTTCCATCATTTGTACATATCCGATAGGACAGCCTCAAACCTCAATCATTATTGCCAGCGTGTGCAGAGTAGCGTTGGGATATAAGGGGATGTTCAAGTAAAGACACGTAAGGAGTGTCGGCTTAATGGGATCCAAACAGTCAGAAGGCACGCAGGAAGGGTCGGTCGAAGCCCCTGAGGGCGGGCAGAAAGACTCTGACTGTATCTATATCTTCAGCCCGAAGATGCACAGAAGGCAGCAGTTGCCCTGAAAGCATCCATAGCCTGTATTTATAGTTTCATTCTGAAAATACGCAGAAGGCAGCAACTGCTCTGAAAGCATCCATAGCCTCAGTTTGAGATGCGTAGCTAATGTTAGTCCGTTGGTACACAGAAGGCAGCAATTGCTCCGAAAGCATCCACAGCCTCAGTCTGAAGATACGCAGTTTATTTCAGTCTGTTGGTACCCAGACAGGCGTCCAGAGCTCCCTGTACCGAACCCCTGCCCATGTGCGGGAGGCCTGCTGGCTGGCCACCGCGGACCAGCGCTGGCCGGCGGCCCCGCGCCACACGAGCTGTCGGTCTCTACGGGCCGGCGCGGTACCCCGGCGCTGTCCCGGTCGCTGTGAGGCCGTCCCGCGTCACTGGAGTTCTCTCGTCGCCGCAGGCGGGCAGCAAGGACATCCTGGTAGCGACAGACGTGGCCGGCCGCGGTATCGACATCAAGGACGTCTCCATGGTCATCAACTACGACATGACCAAGACCATCGAGTCGTACACGCACAGGATCGGCCGCACAGGTCCGTGGTCGTGGGGCGGGAGGGGTGAAATAGGGGGGGGGGGGGGGGGGCAAAAAGCGTCGTGGCGTCTGGCCGCTGTTGTGGGAGGCATATTTTTCATGAACGTTATTCTGTTTGGCGTTGATTTTGCTTGCGAGTCACTTATTGTTTTGAAGGCGAGCGATTCAGTCGATCCCTAATGAGGCAAAGTGCGTTCGCAGTGGTTCGTGAGTAGTGTGCGCTCTTTCTAAGGTTGCGGGATTCTGAAAATGGAATTGAGCATCTGATACCATACGAATAGCGCCCGCTGTGTAGTGCGACCTCTCCACACTGTGCACTCCCCATGGCGTAACCTTGTGCTGTAACCCTCATACCGTGACTCCACTTTACCGTGGCCTCTATACTGTAAACTTTTAGTACCATGATCTCTGGGACGGAGGCCATTTTGGGCGCAAAGCAACCTCGGCCGTTTTGTGGGCGTCGGCGCGCCCTGAAGCCCCAATCATCAGTTGTGGCCTTTCCGAACGTGACCGCTGTACGTTGTGTCCTTTCGATACCGCGATCTGTGCCTTATGGCACCTGTCCCCCAATGCCATTATGTTCCGTGATCTCTGTGCACTGTGACCTCTGTACACTGTGACCTGTGTACACGGTGACCTTTGCGCACCGTGACCTTCCGGTGTACCTTGCGGGCAGGCCGAGCCGGCAAGAACGGCGTGGCGGTGACCTTCATCACGCAGGAGGACTCGGCCGTGTTCTACGACCTGAAGCAGCTGCTGGTGAACTCCCCGATCAGCCAGTGCCCGGCCGACCTGGCCAACCACCCGGACGCCCAGCACAAGCCCGGCACGGTCATGAACAAGAAGCGCAAGGAGGAGAAGATCTACGTTTAGCGCCGGCCGGCCGGGGTGTGGGTACCGAGCCTCGGACCTGGGCGGCCGCCGGTGCGCGGGATGCAGTGCGCGGCGCGCCGGCCGCGGGTCGGGACCGGCCCCCGCGTCCGGCTGGGTCTGTCGGCGCCAGACCGTCGTCCGGAGGGTAGTGCGGCGCGGCGATCGCGTCGCACGCTTGTCGTTGGCGAGCGCGTGGCGGCCGGGCGGCGGCGGCGACGGCGGCCACCACACGGTGGTGGCCGCCGCAGGCGCGCATGGCTCCGCGCCGCGCCTTCGATCAGCGCCTGCGACGAAACGCGCCGCGCGCCGCCCTGGCGGCGGGTTTGTGGAGGCGTTCTCGCCGTGTTGTGTGGTGGGGATGCCTGTGCAAGTGTCACGAAATGCATGTCAGAGAACGGTGTCCAGTGTTACTGACCCACTGACGGATTTGAGCCACGGCTAATATGGTTTGCCTCAGCCTGGTGGGTATCGGGGTTTTCTTTTTTCAGCTTATTCAACGTGTCATCTGTTCATACGGCGGGAGCAAAATGGCAGCCAGGTCAGGGCGGTGAGAGACACGGCGTTCGACTGCAGGCACCTCCTCGATATCTTACCTCCCGTTGAGGTAGACTCACGAACAACAGTCAGGGGATAGCGTGATCCCCGTGGAATCAAGAGGTTGTCAGCTTGAGGCTGTCAGGCGTGATGATCCTTCAGGTTCAGGTCAATCTGAAACCGCGGACGCCAGCCGGCAGGGAGGTCTATCGCAATGCAAAACCTCTCATTGAGTTTGTATGGAAGCAAGATGAAATTTTCGTTGTTATGTACATTTGGAGTATTTTACATAACGTGGTAAAGCAAATATGCGCATAGGTTGCAGAGTTTCGTCACAATGCGGGCACAAATTATCAGCGTCTGGCCATCTCAGGAACTTGACATTCGCGATTCCCTGGCTTAACAATCACTTCCTTTCACAATCTGAGAAGTCTTCAGCTTTAGACAATCCGTCCAAGGATGGACTGTTTTAGTGTCCATGGTGCCTCCATGTCATTCCCATCTGGACCCTCTGAACATGGTAACGCGGCGAAGATTGCGGTCATTGAAACCGGCCGGCGGTGATGACGTCAACAGATCCTTCGCACTTTCGGGGGACCAATGCAATTTTAACAGCTCCCAAAGTCATTGATTCTCGCAAGTTTATGATATCCGGGGAAAGTTAAAAGTGACTGTGGCAAAGTGACTGTGGCATAAAAGTGAGGCATCCAAACAGCTTAGAACAAGTGTCCAACATATGCGCGTTGCGGCCGCCGCTGAGGCTGCTGGATCCCGGGCCGACCGTTCATTGGTTTGTTCATTCATCATCCCGACCGTTCATTGGTCCGTTCATTGGTCCCTTTCTTGGTCACCCCGAAGGTTCATTGGTCCGCTGCGGGTCGGGCGGCTGCGATCGTTCGTGGCACTGCTCCCGGGGTCGCTGAACCGAGTACCGCTACGGTTCGGCGACGGTCAGCGGCGGGATTGTCGCAACGTTTTTTTTTCTTTTAGTCGGAGCCTTTTGAATAGATGGATTTCTGGAATCACAGCTCATGCCAAGAAATGCTTGTTGTTGGTTCCCGGACAAAAAGTCGAATGAAACAGGAGCAAAAACGTCGAGCAGGATAAAAGTCAAGAGGTTTATAATTCCATTCGGAAAAAGTCGAATGCTAAAAGTCGATACGGGCAAAAGGCGACAGTGAAAAAGCCGAAACGAAATAAGTTGGACGACTGAACATCGACAGTGATAACGCAAAAAGTCATGAGGACTGGTGCTCGGAGAAAAGTCAGCAGGATTTGACGCCTGGTATGAGAGGTGGGCAAGTGGCGGCCACGGGAGAGGCATATGGGAGTGAATGCGACGGGACGTCGGCTAACGGTATAGGACCGTAGTATAGTATAGGACGGTATGGGCCGACAGTAAAGGACCAGATCGCACCAGGAGGGATCTGGGAGAACGGACGAGATGGGACCGGGTCGGACGGAACCGGACGAGACCGATGGATCAGATGAGACAGGACCGGACTGAATCGGACGACAGCAGACGGGACCACGCACGACTGGACGCGATCAGACAGCATAACACGTCACCGGACATGCTCGAAAGGAGTCGAACGGGATCCGACGGGACCAGATGGGGCCCGTCGGAACCAGGAAAAGGAGACAAAACCGGGCGGAGCCGGAGGGAACAAGCCGACATCAGCCGAGACTAGACGGAGCATGATGCTTTCGGATGTGGCAGGAAGGGACTAGACAAATTTCGAGGTGGCCCTCGTGGAGAGCTGCTACCCGAGGGTCTAGACACGGCGCCCAAATAAAGGTTCACCTATTTCCACCATCATCTGGCTCTCGTCGGCTGCTCAGCGGCGTACGGTTCCGGTCTTCAGGGGTGAAACAAACTTCTGATTTACCGGACACGATCGATGAAAAGAGCGAGCACTTTTGCGAGCAAATTGGTGACAAAATTGCGAGAATGGAAACGAATTACAACAGACCAGACCATACCACAACAGACAATCCCAGCTAGACGAAACTCAGGGCTTAGTATTGGTTTGCATTCGCTAACACTTGCAGCGCTAGCGAGTGTAGAACACAAGTTAAGTGCACATGTGGAAACGTTAACGTTTCGCTGCATGAGCAAGTTGAGCCGCGAGGCACCGCCAAACATAGTAGCTTTAATCAGGATAGTTTTTAGCAGGTGACAGAACTATACTACAAACCATGCTGTATCAGTGCCGCCACTACAGATCAGGGGTGGCACAGTGTTTTTATAACGCCCCACAGATAAGTGTTTTTTGCATATTTTTCGGCCGAGATTCACGTCACATATCAAACAGTATACGAACAGCCTCCGATTAAACGGCACAGACTGACTCCAGGATTCACAATTTTTCCCCCAAAACAATTTTCCCCCAAATTCGATGCACACCTTTTCCAGAATTGGGAGCAGGGATGTAGTTTCTCAAAATTAAGCTTGGGGTCTAAACCCTAAAAATTGTGATTTAAACTTTATGAATAAACATGACTTATTTTGCGATTATGAACTAAACCGGAGACTACATCCCTAGCTAGGAGGCACCCCTACCCCAACTGAATCTGACACCACGCGTCTCTGGGCTGGTTATGTTAAGTATACCTTTATCTAATTTCATTAGCATAGTCTCAACCATCGTTCAGTGTTTGATGGCCAGGAAATGATACTTAAGTCAAATGAATTCTCGAAGCGAAAATGCTTGATTATTATGCCGCATTGCATCGAATTTGGCTTCGTTTTTTGTGGAGTATCGCATTTCTTTCTCAAAGATTTGATCCGAACCCTTTACATGGATGGATTTCTGGGACCAGAGCTCACGCTAAGCAGTGTTGTTGTGTGAGCCCCGATCCTTTCCACCCGATGGCGCAAACTTTTAAGATATATTGCAACGGCTTCTGAAAGATTGGGCTCTATGTGACAATTGAACGGTTCCAAATTTCGTCGCTAACAGAAAAAAAAACACTTCTTTCACCCCTGCTGCGTTTTGTGCTAGGGAGAGGGAGGGGAGTGAAGCAGGCAGGGCGGCCGCATGACAGCAGACGGTGTCTGTTGTACGACTGTGTTGGCAGTGAATCCGCGTCTGCACTATGAAACCCTAAAATCACCCGCATGGTAAATACCCGTTCCAGACAACACTATGGTGCTTGATATCAGCGAGGAATGCCTTAAGCTCCTGGTTATTCGGCCAGGGGTGTGGTGTCATATCAGTTGGGAAAGGGGGGAGGGATGGCGCAAAGCAGGGTAAATGACTTAGCCTTTGCGTAAAACGTCGACAAATGGAGCTCTCTTCGGTTTCGTCCCTCTTTTTTCCTAAAGTTTGAGGGGGGGGGGGTCCAGCTAAGCAGGAAGCTGCACCTCTGTTCAGCAGCTGTTCGGTATTATGACTTCAGAGATTCCATGCCAAGTCACGACCTTCAACATACCAGAAGGCACGAACCAACGGCGCAATAGAGTAAACATTGACCTTGTCAATCTATTGAAAATACAATGTAACTCGATCAGTACAATGCAAACATTGTATTGATGATTGAGATCGTCAGTGCTCAAGATAATGACTGTGTTGTGAAAGGCACTCACCAGCTTCTTGTGGACTTTCTGCCGGCTTTCGTCCCTTTGAAGCTTTTATCTTTTGACCTTTCCATTTTCACTTATACTCGTCGACTTTAATCCCTGCCAGCCTTCAGTCCATAAACTTTTTAGGTCGGCATTTTCAGAATCGACTTGCCATTTTGTTTTCCACTCGACTTTCTTCCGGACACATTTGTGGTGTGAGTCACGGCCCGTACCATCCAATCGTGACATTCCAGGTCATCGGCAGAAACTGCTGACGAACTTTTAACGTGCCACAATGCTTGGTGTCCGCAATGTCCGTCCTGCGCTCTGGCATTGCCTGGGCCGCGTTCCTCATTGGCGAAGTACTTAATTTGCTACTTATGGCGACTTAAGTGACTACGTTGTACATAAGCGACTTATCTCCAAGCCGTAAGAGCTGTTGTGACGCACTTACCTCTGACGTCATAAGTTGCAACTTGTGGACAGATGCTAATAATGGGGAACGCGGCCCTGAGCTTTACTGCGGACGCTGCCAACGGCCGCAGGCAATAGGTGGCAAGGACAAACAACAAGCGCTTAAAAATGACTCGAGCACACCACGCCACGGGTGGGGGGTCGGAAGGCATGCGCTCTAACCAACTGGACTATCGGGACGAACCATATCCCGTTGAGCATCTATGCGTGTACGCCAGCGTTTACGCCAAACTCTGTGTTGTGGCAGTACTGGATCATAAAAACACCAGAAAGTGATGGCGATAGCGTTCATTAAAACTTTAGCCAAATGCTGGCACGGCGTACGCAGGTGCCGTGCCAGAGCCTCGCGGCTAAACTGATGGGCTTCCGAACCACAGCGGCACAGTTGAAACGCAACATGTTCACCGAGGTTCATGATTTTAATCATCGCACGCCTGCCTTGTAAGTCTGAATCAGCAAACGTCCCGCCTTG